TTTTTTTTTTTTTTGCAGTTTTTGGCAGGGACTGGGTTTGAACCCACCACCTCTGACATATGGGGCCTGCACCCTACCCCCTTGAGCCACAGGCATCGCCCAACTGCCATGACTTTTTATGGCCCTCAGTCACTACAGGTGCGATCACTCCCCTGGAGAGCTCTTCTCGCTTTTTCTCCTGAAGAGAATAGGAAAGGAGCCAACACTTGGTAAATGCCTATTATGCATGTAGCATGCTAGGCAAGTGGTAGAAAGTGAAAAATGGGCTTGGTGCCTGTAGCTCAAGCAGCTCAAGTGGCTATGGTGCCAGCCACATACACAGGAGGTGGCGGGTTCAAGCCCAGCCCAGGCCTGCCAAACACCAATGACAACTACAGCCAAAAAATAGCTGGGTGTTGTGGTGGGCGCCTGTGGTCCAAGCTATTTAGGAGGCTGAGGCAGGAGAATCACTTAAGCCCAAGAATTTAAGGTTACTGTGAGCTGTGACACCAAGGGCAACAGAGTGAGACTCTGGAAAATAATTACTCCCTTCCTTTAAACCCTAAGAGTTGGCTGGGCACAGTGGCTCACACCTGTAATCCTAACACTCTTGGAGGTCAAGGTGGGAGAATATCCTAAGCACAGGAGTTCGAAACCAGCCTGAACAAGAATGAGACCCTGTCTCTACTAAATATAGAAAAACTAGCCAGGTGTTGTGGTAGGCGCCTGAGGTCTCAGCTACTTGGAAGGCTGAGGCAGGAGGATTGCTTGAACCCAGGAGTCTGAGGTTGCTGTGAGCTAGAACAATGCCATGGCACGCTAGACCAGGCAGCAGAGTGAGACTCTGTCAACCTCCTCCCCTGCAAAAAAACAAACAAAAAAATCCCCCCAAAAAGGGCAGCACTTATGGCTCAAAGGGGTAGGGCGTCGGTCCTATGTGCTGGAGGTGGTGGGTTCAAACCCAGCCCTGGCCCAAAACTGCCAAAAAAAAAATCCCAAAAGTTTGCAAGCTTGTCTCCCCAACTAGTTTGTGCTAAGCAAAAGATGGGGCTGTTAGGAATGCACATTGGTATTCTCAGAGTCTTTATCCTGGTGTCTAGCATAGGGGTCCTCAAACTTTTTAAACAAGGGGCCAGTTAACTGTCCCTCAGACCCTTGGAGGGCTGGACTGCAGGTCTCGGGACAAGTCGGCTGCTAAGCAGGACAGGCAGCAGCGGCAAAAACACCCGGCAGGCCAGATAAGTGTCCTAGGTGGGCTGCATGTGGCTCTCGGGCCATAGTTTGAGGACTGGTCTAGCACATAACAGGTGTGCAATAAAACTCGCAGGTTAAGTAAGTCAAACCTATACCATACCTGACTTCTTTGTATGCTGCTCTTCAACAAATTTCTTCTGTTCCTTATGAAAATCTCCTATAATTGTCTGTTGAAAAAACATATAGTCAAATTACTTTGAGAAATTTATTATTATGTGAGAATTACATTCAAGATTCTTGAAGTCTATTTGAGACACTTGATTCATTTTCTTCAAATAAAAAGGCTAAAAAGTGCTACTTCCTCATTTCCCCAATAAGGGAGGTTCTTTAATGCACTTGAATTATTAAGGATACAGGTACAACCTCCTTTATGACATTAACTCTTCAAATGCAAAAATAAAGTTAAAAACTGAATTTTTATTTATTCTATGAAACAAAAAAGGGTCAAGTCTCATTCTAACAAACAGTATACACAATAAAAATGTCTATATAACAATACAGTATATCTGGCTCGGCGCCTATAGCTCAACCGGCTAAGGCGCCAGCCACGTACACCTAAGGTGGCGGGTTCGAATCCCCAGCCCGGACCCGCCAAAC